CACTGGGGGCCCAAATCTAACCTAGTACACAGCTTCTTTGGTCTCCTTTTTCCTACAGGTTGTATACGCTGCTACATATTAAATCTACAGTATGTGTTTATCACCTTGACACAGAAGGTGCAACCTCCACAAACTCAGACAAGGCTGTTATAAAAAAAGAAAATTATAAGCCAGTATCTCTGATGAATATAGATGCAAAAATCCTCAAGAAAATACTAGCAAACTAAATTCAGTAACATATTAAAAACACCATACACCATGATCAAGTGGGGTTTATCCCTGGGATGTAAAGATGTTTCAACATGCCCAAATCACTAAGCACAATATACCTCAACAGAATGAAGGATAAAAATCATATGATCATCTTCATAAGTACAGAAAAATCATTTGGCAAAATACAACATCCTTTCATGATAAAGACAGTCAACAAATTAGGTATAGAGAGAGTGAACTCACACAATAAAGGCCATATATGACAAGCCCACAGCTAACATCATACTCAATGGTGAAAACTTGAAAGCTTTTCCTCTAAGATCAGAAACAAGACAAGGATGCCCAGTCTAGCCATTTCTATTCAACATTAGCATTAGAAGTCCTAGCCATAGTAACTGGGCATGAAAAAAGAATAAAAGACATTCAGATCAGAAAGAAAGAAGTAAAATTGTCTCTGTTTGCAGATGAAATAATCTTACAAGTAGAAAATCATGAAGAGTCCACCAAAAAACTGCCAGAAGTAATAAATAAATGCAGTAAAGTTGTAAGATACAAAATTGGGTTGTGTGTCTACAAACAATGAATTATCAGAAAAGAAATTGAGAAAAAAATTCAATTTACAATACCATCAGAAACAATAAAATACTTAAAAATAAACTTAACCAAGGAAGTAAATAATCTGTACACAAAAAATCATAAAAAGTTGATAAAAAAAACTTCAACACAACATAAAGAAATGGAAAGATATCCTATATTCGTGAATTGGAAGAAACGATACTGTTAAAATGTCAGTACCAACCAAAGCTATCTACATTTCCATTGCAATCCCTATCAAAATTTCAATGGCTTTTTTTTCTCAGTAATAAGAAAAATAATCCTAAAATCCATATGAAACCATGAAAGACTCTGCAATCTTGAGCAAGAAGAACAAAGCTGGAGGTATCATACTGTCTGATTTCAAAACATACTACAAAGCTATAGCAACCAAAACAGCATGGTACTGGCACAAAAAAAGGCATATAACCAATCAGACAGGATAGAGAGCTCAGAAACAAATCCACACATTTACTGCCAACTGATCTTTAACTTGAAGGAAAAGGATAATCTCTTTAACAAAAGCTGTTGGAAAAACTGGATACCCACAAACAGAAGAATAAAATTGGACTCCTATTTCATGCCACGTACAAAAATGAACTCAAAATGGGTTGAAGATTTAGACATAAAACCTAAAATTGTAAAATGACCAGAAGAAGACATGGGGAAAAAACTTCTTGACATTTGTCTGGGCAATGATATTTTAGATATGACCTCCAAAGCACAGAAAACAAAAGTAAAAACAAACGAGACTTATCAAATTGAAAAGCTTCTGTGCACCAAAGTAAACAACCAACAGAGTGAAAAGACAGCATACTGAATGGGAGAAAATATTTGCAGATGATGTATCTGATAAAGAGTCAATATTCCAAGATATATAAGGAATGCAAAAACTCAACACCAAGAAAATGAACCAATAAAAATGGGCAACGGGTCTAGCCAGTGGCTCAAACCTGTAATCCTAAGACTTTGGGATGCTGAGGCGGGTTGATCACCTGAGGACAGAAGTTTGAGACCAGACTGACCAACATGGTGAAACCCCATCTCTACTAAAAATACAAAAATTAGCATGGTGGTGAGCACCTGTAATCCCAGTTGCTTCAGGTGCTGAGGCAGGAGAACCCAAGAGGTGGAGGTTGCAGTGAGCCGAGCTTGCACCACTGCACTACTCCAGCCTGGGCCACAGGGAGACACTCTGTCTCAAAAAAAAGAAAGAAAGAAAAGAAAAAAAGGGCAAAGGACCTAAATAGACATTTCTCCAAAGAAGACATAGAAATGACCAACAAGGATATGAACAGGTGCTCAGTATCACTAATCATCAGGGAAATACAAATTAAAATCACAGTGAGACACCACCTCACACCCTTTGGAATGACTAGTATAGAAAAGGCAAGCAGTAACAAACACTGGCAAGGATGTGGGAGTGAACAGTGACTCCTTGTACACTGTTGGTGGGAATGTAAGTTGGTGCAAGGAAATGAAATCGGCATCTCAAAGTGACATCTGCACACCCATGGTCATGGCGACATGATTCATATTGGTCAGGATGTGGAAACAACCTAGTGTCTGGTGATGGATGAATAGATAAAGGAAATGTAACCTATTAATATAAGTACGCTTTAATAATATTCCGCCTTATCAAAGAAAGAAATCCTGTCATTTGTGACAACATGGATGGACCAGGAGGACATCGTGTTAAGTGAAATAGGTCAGACACAGAAAGACAAATACTGCATGATCTCACTTACATGTAAAATCCAAAAAACCCAAACTCTTAGAAACAGAGAGTAGAAGAGTGGTTACCAGAAGCTAGAGGATGGGGCGGGAGGATGAGAGAAAAGGATGCAGGCTCTACTTCCCAGCCATCCTTCATGCATGTCCCAGACCTGCCACCAAAGGGCTCCCCAATGTTGCAATGTCCTTACAGAACATACGGTGAGTACAACATTCTATTTTATCTGTACTCTGTAGTATCCAAGCACAGAACCTTGAGAAGACAGACACTAAGATCACTAGGTCATTCCCAGGTGGACCCGTCCAAGGATGCCCGGTAAAAGTCTCGCCATGACTGTCCGACAAAGCTCTATCTAGAGTGTGTTTCAGGTTTGGTGCAGTAGATAATTCTGCTCTGGCTGTTGTCAAGCTAAAAGTGCATACAGAGTGGGGGAGTTGGAAAGAGAAGCTCATCATTACGGGTGTAGTACAAGAGAGAGCTAACCCTCCGAAGCATAGGTATTAGTTGACATAATTAGCAACAGTTGAGTTTTGAGTATTTACTGACAATATTTAAATCAATTATGTAATTGTAAGTTTATGTAATTTAATTTTTAATAATGGCTGTATTTAGCAACTGGCTCTCAAAATTCCTGAAAATTTGCCGGTAGACTCTTGGGAGCATGTCTGAGCTAGCCCTGGCATACATTGGGCCTGCCATCCAGCCCAAGTTTACTGACCTCGTTACTCATAGGGACTCTGCTTTATTTTAAAATTATGTTTATGGCTTCTTGTCTGTCATCTCCTGCTAGAATATAAGCTCTGTAAGGGCAGGGATTCTGACTGATTTGCTCACAGCACTTCCTCCAGCACCTGCAACAATGCCTGGTGCATAGCAGGTGCCCCATAAATAGACCAATGCCTGACATGTAGTAGATGATGCTCAATAGCTGTGGATGAGTGAAAGTAAGAAAGAGAATGAGATTCCTAACACAACGGTTTCATGTAAATTAGAAACGACACACCAAGACACTGCCTTGTATTCCAGGATGCAGAGTATTCAAAGCTATCTGGGGCCGGGCGCGGTGGCTCACGCCTGTAATCCCAGCACTTTGGGAGGCAGAGGCGGGTGGATCACGAGGTCAAGAGATCGAGACCATCCTGGTCAACATGGTGAAACCCCGTCTCTACTAAAAATACAAAAAAAAAAAAAAATGGCATGGTGGCGCGTGCCTGTAATCCCAGCTACTCAGGAGGCCGAGGCAGGAGAATTACCTGAACCCAGGAGGCGGAGGTTGCGGTGAGCAGAGATCACGCCATTGCACTCCAGCCTGGATAACAAGAGGGAAACTCTGTCTCAAAAAAAATTAAAAAGCTATCTGTGTTGGCACCTGTGAGGAGGGAGGGGAGCAGAGCCAGAGATGAAGAGTGGAAATAAATTAATAAAATGAGAGAAGGGCTCTGCCTGGACAGGAACCGAAGCCTGTGATTAACTCAACTCTCTTCACCCGAGATCTGATTAGGAAAAAGAGGACATCTTCATTTGCACAGAATTTTCCGGGAAACAAGGCAGTGAGTCCCCTGTCCTGTACCACAGGGGCTGCAGGGAGGAGGCTGGGAGAAGGCAGTTGTGCTCAAGGTCACTCTGTGGGGACAAGGTGTTTCCGTCTAGAAACCTGATATAGTGGGGCAGGTGGGGGACGCCCAGGGAAAAACATGCAAAGAGGGAGGCAGCCTCTTGTCAGCACACAGCTCCCGGCTGGGCATGGTGGGGCCACTGCATTCACGTTTCTTGAAGTAATTAAATGAATGGATGAGGCTGGGTGTGGCGGCTCACACCTGCCATCCCAGCATTTTGGGAAAACAAGGGAGGCAGATTGCTTGAGGTCAGGTGTTTGAGACCAGCCTGAGCAACAAAGGGAGACACCCCCCACTCCGCCCCCTGGCTTTACAACACATTTAAAAAGTATCGGGCCATGGTGACGTGCACCTGTGGTCCCAGGCACCCCGGAGGCTGAGGTAAGAGGATTCCTGGATCCCAGGAGATCCAGGCTGCAGTGAGCCATGATTGCATCACTACACTCCAGCTGGGGAGACTGAGCAAGACCTTGTCTCAAAAAATAAAAAATAGGCTGGGCACAGGTGGCTCACGCCTGTAATCCCAGCACTTTGGGAGACTGAAGCAGGCAGATCACCTGAGGTCAGGAGTTGGAGACCAGCCCGGCCAACATGGCTAAACTCCATCTCTACTAAAAATACAAAAATTAGCTGGGTGTGGCGGTGCACACCTGTAATCCCAGCTACTCGGGAGGCTGAAGCAGGTGAATCGCTTAAACCCAGGAGGCGGAGCTTACATACAGTGAGCTGAGATCACGCCCTTGCACTCCAGCCTGGGTGACAAGTGCGAAACTCCACCTTGAAAAATAAAATAATAATACTAAAAAACAAATAAACGGATGAATGAATACAATTTACGACGATTCCATTTTCATCGTCATGATTTATTTGGTTTTTAGAGACACTAAGCATGTTAAAATTTGTCTTCTCTGGAATACAATGCCGGTTTAAGGTGTCTGAGGTCCTGCTCTGGGAAAGGGAGTAAAGATCAGGATGCTGGGGACTGGTGCTCCTGGGTCTGAGGGAGGAGGGGCTGGGGCCGGGACTTCTGGGTCTGAGGGAGGAGGAGCTACAGCCAGGAATCCTGGGTCTGAGGGAGGAGGGGCTGGGGCCGGGACTCGTGGGTCCTGAGTGGAGAGAGGAGGGCCTGGGCAGCTGACGAGGTCCATCCCTCCTTGACGGCCATCATTTGCCCCGCATCGTTTCCTCAATCCAGCTTCGGTACTTGCACAGGTTGGTGTAGACACCGGGGTAGCCAGGCAGGGCACAGCGCTCCATTCCCCAAGACACGAGGCCCTGGAGCTTTCCTTTGCACACCAGGGGTCCCCCAGAGTCACCCTGAGGGAGAGGAACAGAGATGGAGACACCCATGGACAGGTGGTCAGAGCCACGGCACAGAGAACCCGGGAAGCAGAGATAGTCACAGAGACAGGTAGAGACGCCCAGCAGACAGGCAAGGACGTTGTCCTGCCCCAGCTCTGAGGTCTCAGCCCCGGAGGTTGGGGCACTTCCTTCCCTCTCTGCTGGGTCCGGCTCTGTCTCTGTGTCTGCACCTGCCTGTACCTTGAGTCTCACCGGGCCCCTCTCTGTTTGCTCCATGTGTAGAACACTTGTGTGTCTCTTTCTATGTCCCCGTCTCTGCCACTCTCAAGGATGCATTCAGATTTCTAGAAGCCTCAGCGCAGTCTTTCCCAGACCCATGTGTGCAGACACCACTCTACGATCTTTCCCCAGCCTGTCTCATCCCATTCCACCAACTACCCTGAGAGGGTTATCCCCACCTGACAGACGGGGAAACTGAGGCATGAACGCTTTGAGTCCATTACCCAGGCGGCACAGGGCTAGGAAGCAGGGCGGACTGACTATCGGAATCTCTCTGTCCCTGCAGTTCCCTCTCTTCTGAAGACCTCTGCAGACTTCCATGCTCCTGACATCATTTGGGGCCTAAATCCCAGTCCCAAATAATCCCTCCCCCAGCTCCCACCCTGGGCCTTACCTGACAAGAGTCCTTCCCACCCTGGGCAACTCCCGCACAGACCATGCCAGGCGTGATGGCTCCGGGATAGGCCTTCCGGCACACCTCATCCGGGGAGATGTTGATGTTCAGGCATTGCAGAGAAGTGGGGTACCTGGCTGGCGGGGCACTGCAGGATTATGACCGAGTCTACCCTCCCAGATGACCCAAGTGTCCAGGCCCCCAGGCCCTCCTCCCTCAGACCCAGGAGTCCAGGCCCCGCCCCTCCTCCCTTAGACCCGGGAGCCCAGGCCCCGCCCCCAGCTTTCCCAGATGCAGGTCCTCACCTATGGGGCTGGATGTAGTTCCCCAGCCTGACACTCGGCAGGAGGTCCCGGGGCTGGCGCAGGCTTGGGCGACTTCAATGGGCCTGATTGCCCTCCCCATCCGCGCAGGCTGCTGCAGCTGCAGCAGCATGAGGTCGTTGTCGTGGGTCCGGGAGTTGTAGTTTGGGTGTGTCACCTGGCGAACCACACGCAGCTCCTGCTGGGTGGCCTCCCACCTCTTCAGGTTGTGCTTGCCCAGGGCAACCCGAAGAATCCTGGCCAGGACCCCCAAGAGGAGCGCAGCTCAGGGTCTGAGCCGGAGACCCCTCCCCACCCTCCAGCCCCGTTCCGTGGCCCTCTAGCTGGGTCATGACTCTTCCCCCAGGTCGAGCCTGCTTCTTACTAACTGCAGACCGAGCATTCTGGGCCTCCTGCGCCCTTCCCCACGGCCAGGGCATCCTCTCGGCCCAGCCCCAGCTGCCGTTCCTTCTGCTCTTGGGCTGAGCTCCAGCTCCTGGCTTGGGAAGAAGGTGTTGATTGGGAGAACTTGGCTCCGTTCCAGAGTCTGTGCTGGGCTCTGTGCTTTCAGTTCTAAGTGAAACTCTGGGTAATGACTCCAGGCCCTAAGTCAGAACTGTCATTCTGGAGTAAGCTCCATTCCGTTCCTAGCGTGGGCTCTGGGTTCCAGACGTCTTAAACTTTTGACTCTATGCTGAGATCGGGATTCTAGATCGAGCCTGGATTATGACTTGATTCTTTTTTTTTTTTTTTTAATGGAGTCTCACTCTGTCACTGAGGCTGGAGTGCAGTGGCACAATCTCAGCTCACTGCGACCTTCACCTCCCAGTTCAAGTGATTCTCCCACCTCAGCCTCCTGAGTAGCTGGGACTACAGGTGCCGGCCACCACACCCGACTAATTTTTATATTTTTAGTAGTAGAGACGGGGTTTCAACATATTGGCCAGGCTGGTTTCAAACTCCTTACCTCAAGTGATCTGCCCCCCTCGGCCTCCCAAAGTAATGAGATTATAAGCGTGAGCCACCTTGCCTGGCTACTTAATTTCTAGATTCTTATGTGAGCTTTCTGTTTTAGGGTAGGCTGAGGGTTTTATTTTGAGCAATGGATGAAGACCTGGGCTATGGGGTCTGGACACATTGATATGAGCTCCAGTTTCTGGGTAGTGCTCTGGGTTCTTCATTAAACTCTGTTGGTTTTTTTTTTTTTGAGACGGAGTTTCGCTCTTGTTACCCAGGCTGGAGTGCAATGGCGCAATCTCGGCTCACCGCAACCTCCGCCTCCTGGGTTCAGGCAATTCTCCTGCCTCAGCCTCCCGAGTAGCTGGGATTACAGGCACGCACCACTGTGCCCAGCTAATTTTTTGTATCTTTAGTAGAGACGGGGTTTCACCATGTTGACCAGGATGGTCTCGATCTCTTGACCTCGTGATCCACCCGCCTCGGCCTCCCAAAGTGCTGGGATTACAGGCTTGAGCTACCGCGCCCGGCCTAAACTCTGGTTTATGAGGCATTCACAGACAAGAGTTTGAGCTCTGTGCTCCAGTTGGGGTCAGGGTTCTCTACATTGGTCTGAGCTCTGGATTCCACCGGTCTGTTTCATACTGGATTACAGGGCTCTTGGTTCTAGACTCTGGCCTGAGCCCCTGACCTCAGGCTGGGCTCTGGGTTCTAGATGAAGCTCTGGGTTATGGCCCGGATCCTAGGTTCTGGAGTCTGGTTTGCATTCTGCCCTTTACATTCTAGACTGTGGACTGAGCTTTGATCTCAAGTTTCTAGACTGACCTTCCATTTATAGCAGAGATATGGCTTGTAGGCATTTTGACTTCTTGGCTGGGGTCTGGGTTGTAAATTCAGATCTAGAATTTAGGAGGGGTCTAGGTTTTATGTGGGGCTTCCGATTGGGATCTGCATTCTGGGATTTATTTATTTATTTTTCCAGATGGAGTTTCGCTCTGTCGCCCAGGCTGGAGTGCAATGGCGCAATCTCAGCTCATTGCAACCTCCGCCTCTCAGGTTCAAGCAATTCTCCTGTCTCAGCCTCCCGAGTGGCTGGGATTACAGGCATGCACCACCATGCTCAGCTAATTTCGTATTTTTAGTCGAGACAGGGTTTCTCCATATTGGTCAGGCTGGTCTCAAACTCCCGACCTCAGGTGATCCGCCCGCCTCAGCCTCCCAAAGTGCTGGGATTATAGGCGTGAGCCACTGCGCCCGGCACATTTGGGATTTAAACACGGGGTTGAAGTCTGCGATGCAGGCTGCTTATCGCAAAGCCACAGACTAGACTCTGAACTAAAGCTGGGATGTGAAATAGGCTCCAGGTTTTGTCTCTATTCTTGTGTTGTATGTTCCGGCTGTGAGCAGGGTTCTAGTTCTGAATTTATGGCTAGACTATAGGTCCAGAGCTGGGATCTGAGTGCCATGTAGTGTCCTGGGTTTCTAAATGTAGACAGGGTCCTGAATTCAGTCACCAATCTGGAATGGGCTAAGCTTAGTCTTGATGTAAAAGCTCGGCCTCTGGATGAATCACTGGGTTAGATGTTAGGTTCTCAGCAAGCCCATCTGGTTTCAGAATCCAAACGGAGTTGGGAATTTATGGAGGCGTCCACATCCCAAGCTGTGCTTCTGGCTCCAGGCCCTTCTCTAGACCTCAAACCAGGAGCCAGCCGCTACATTGGGTTCTAGAGCTACATTGAGATCCAAGTTCTCAGCTGAGTTTTGGGCTTTAGACTCCGGGATTCACTGGGCACAGAGACAGGGGAGGGGGTCACTTACAGGCGGCCGCAGTGAGCAGCGGTGATGACCCACCGGTCTGAAAGCAGGGTGCCTCCACAGAGGAAGCGGCGCCCGGGACCTGCCAGCAGGGCCGCCTGCCATGGCTGGGAGCTCCGGGCACATGTGTAGCCACCAATTATCTTGTTCTCATCCTCTTGGCTCCGTGTCATGGCTAGGAGTGGACAGCATTGGGTGGGGAAAGTAGGTGAGCAAACACCCTCCACTCCCCACGTTTGTAGGATTCCGGAACTGACAAATCCCCTTCCTTTTGGCCTAACCCCTAAGCCGCCCACCTCTATCTGTCCCACCCAGGGTGAGACATGTCCAATATTGACCCCGTTATTGTCCCGACACAGAGAGTTTTCTGACTATCTTCCCAAGTCACCTGTGTAGCGTCTCTTACTTTGCACCTTACGGCCACCTTATCCGGGGCCTCCCTAAGTCCCCGACCCTCCCATATCTGTGCTCCCATAATGCCGTGATCACTTCTCCCAATATGCCACGTTTTCCCCATGAGCCCTTCCCCACCACATTCAAGGACCTCCCTGTATCCTTCCCAACATTCCCACTCAGCGGGACCCAAGGATCCACCCTATCTTGCCCACACTTGCCCCCATCCACCACGCCACACCCCACCACCCCATCATCCTCCTTGTCCCTCTGACGTCAAAACATCTTTCCCACATTGCTTCTTTCCTAAACGAGGTCAAGGAGAGCCCCATCTCAATGGAGAGCTGGACCCCAATGTAGCGGCAGGCGCCTGCTTCGAGTTCTAGAGAAGAGCGTGGAAGGGAGACCCATAACAGCTTTCTGCTATGACCTACTCAGGACCTAATAGTCCTCTACGATTCCTTATTGATTTAGCACCAGATCCTGTAAACACTTCTCTCCCCAGCCCCGCAATTTCCTGGTACCTCCACCACTGGGAGTTTAGGCTTCTGGCGTGCTCCCCCGCCATGGTCCCTAAACTGCTCCCTGCTCTTTCTTATCAGGTCACCATGAGCATCTGGGGGCCCCAAGGACCCCTCCCCATCTCTTCCTGGGGTCTCCAGGGGTCCCCCTTGTCTCATACTCAACCGTTCTCTTACCTACAGCCAGGACTTGAAGTGCTGCGAGCAGGAGGAGCATTTTAGGGGCTGAGGGCCGGGTGCTGTCAAATGCAGAGAGAATGAGACAGGAGGAACCTTCAACGTAATCGGGGCTGAGAGGGAGAGACAGCAAGGGCTGCTTACCCAGAGCCCAAGACCCTCAGAGACATGAAGACACAGTGGAGAGGTGGAGGCCAGAGACCAGGAGGGCAGGGCCTGCAGGCTGGAGGATGCAGAGCCCGCGCGGGTCCCTCCTTGATGTCTTGGTGAGGGAAGGAGGGGAGGTGTCTCTCTTTCCAGTCACGCTGGCAAAGCCTTTTATCCCTGGTCCGGACAGCTGGCCCTGCCCCCACTCACTCCCGCCGCCCTGCTTCTGACAGTTTTTTTTATTGCCTCGTTCCCATTCCAGGACTCCCTGATCCCATCCCCTCCCTCCTCTCTCTGGCCAAAAAAGCAGCCACAATTGTTCATGAGAACCCGCCCAGGGAAGATGCTATAATCCAGAAGGAATCCTGGGAGGGGACCCCAGGGCAGGGTGGGCAGGGGAGGGCTCCCCGTGGCTGGAGGTGGTGGATCTGCTGGTGGAGTCAGGACACCAGGGTGGGGAGCCTCCGAGGAAAAGGCACCAAGGGGCTGAGAGAGGGAGGAAGAGTGGCACTGAGAGAGGGACTCATGGGAGGAGACAGAGACAGAGACAGAGAGACAGACTGAAAGAGTCAGAGAGATGGAGACAGAGACAGAGAGACAGAGGGGGGAGAAAGAGAGAGACAGACAGAAAGAGAGAGAGAAAGGGAGACACAGAGAGAGACAGCGGGAAAATGAATGGGAAGATAAGACAGTGGAGAGACAGAGTGTCCAGGAATACCAGCACAGAGGGACATGTGCTCACAGGAGAAGGAGCTGAGGAGAAAGGTAGGGAAAGATGTGGAAGCTGGATGTGACAGGGAACAGGAGAGGCAGATGCTGGGAAGAAACCAGACGAAGGAGGAGGGAGACACAGAGATGCCGGGAGAGAAGAGTGTGGAGAAGCAGAGGGAGAAAAGCAAAGGCGGAGGGAAGAAAGTGAAGACAGATGGAAACACACAGAAAGAGAAAACAGCGGAGAGAGAGGAGAGGCCAAGATGCCCCCCACATGCTGCACCACCACAGACACAGAACAACAGCGATGATGATGAGGGCACTGCACATGGGAGACGTGGAAGGGAACGAGACACGGTGGGAGAAAGAGGAGGACGGGACAGGCAGGCAGATGGCAGAGGGGAGATGGGAAGGAGGGCAGCTATAGGGGATGGGGACAGTGACAGGGAAGACGGAGGCAGAGATGAGAGATGGCAGTGCCAGGGAGAGATGGAGAGGCGGGATGGGATGGAGGACGGGCAGGAGGTAGGCGGGAGGTACCTGGACTTGGAGCAGGGCTGCCCACCTTTCTTTCTCACTTTTGGCTCCTGAGAGATGGAGGAGCAGAGGCCCCAGCAGGGAGCAGGAAGGTTGGTGCCAGAACTGGCATTCCCCAACTTGGGATCCGTAGGAGGGTGGGGAAGAGCTAGGTATAGAGATGAAGTGAGAGCTGGAAATGCAGAGAGAGGGGGACAGAGATCAAGAGGGGAGGGGACAGCAACCCAGAGAAAGATGGGGACAGAGACACACACAGAGGGACAGAGACCCAGAGAGAGAGGGGGCAGAGGCCTAGAGAGAGAGAGGGACAGAGACCCATAGAGAGACGAGGAGAGAGATCCAGAGAGAGGGGGGGCAGAGACCCAGAGAGAGAGGGGGGACAGAGACCCAGAGAGAGAGGGGAGACAGAGACACGGGGGGGGACAGAGACCCAGAGAGAGGTGGGGACAGAGACCCAGAGAGAGAGGAGGGCAGAGACCCAGAGAGAGAGGGGGGACAGAGACCCAGAGAGAGAGGGGGGACAGAGACCCAGACAGAGAGAGGGGCAGAGACCCAGAGAGAGAGGGGGGACAGAGACCCAGAGAGAGAGAGGGGAACAGAGACCCAGAGAGGGAGGGGACAGAGACCCAGAGAGAAGGTGACAAAGACCCAGATGGAGAGGACAGAGACTCAGAGAAGGGGGCAGAGGTTCAGAGACAGAAGGACAGAGTCTAAGAGAGTGTCAGCGAGTCAAAATGGGAGAGGGCAGAGAACAGGAGAGACGAGTGAGAGGGGAAGGATTCTGGCCAGTCTGCAGAGGGGTTCTGGAGCTGGCGGGGGTTTCATCCTCATTTCCAGGAGGCCTACCCTCCTCGGCCCCTCCCCCAGGAGGCCTACCCTCCTCGGCCCCTCCCCCAGTCCCTTAAGTTCCCTAACACATGTGTCTGTCTCTGGGCCTGAGCAGCTCCACCCGTGGACCACGTGGTGACTCAGGAGGCTGCCTGTGACTGTTCCCGCAGCCTCAGCCTTCCTCCGCCTGGACACCCGCCTCAGCTGGCTCTTTGAGCTGGTGCTTGGGCCAGGTCTGTCTCTGCACCTGCGGACGCACTGTCTGTGCACCTGCCTCTGAATCTCCACACTGTCTCTCCCCAGGTGCCTGTTTCCTGTTCTCTGTTTCCTGAACTGTTCCTGTTAACTACGGGCCTGCCTACTTTGAGCTGAAGGTCTTGGGGAGCCTTCCCGGCCTCCTCTTCCCTGGTTCAGGCTCTGCATCCACACAAGAAGCCCCTCTTTTTTTAAATTTTATTTTTATGTTTTGTTTTGTTTTTTTTGTTTTCTTTTTTGAGACGATGTCTCGCTCTTTAGCCCAGGCTGGAGTGAAGCGGCGTGATCTCGGCTCACTGCAGCCTCCACCTCCCAAGTTCAAGCGATTCTCCTGCCTCAGCCTCCCGAGTAGCTGGGATTACAGGCACCCACCACCATGCCCGGCTAATTTTTTGTATTTTTAGTGGAGACAGGGTTTCACCATGTTGGCCAGGCTGGTCTCGAACTCCCGACCTCAAATCATCTACCCGCGTTGGCCTCCCAAAGTGCAAAGATTACAGGTGTGAGCCACCGTGCCCAGCAAGAGCCCTCTCTTTTAAGAAAGGATTCTCTTGGGACCCAGGGATGAGGTGGCGGGAGGGAGCTGCTTTGTGGTGATGAATCAGCTCTGTACTGGATGTGGCAGTGATTACACGAATCTACCCCTGAGCTAAAGACACACATAAGCCCACGCGCACACACACACGTGCAAAGAAATGCGTGTGAAAAGTGAGCGCGCAGCGTGGTGTGTAGTCTCGTTAATAGTTTGGTTCCTGTGTGGCTTTACTGGTTTCCATTCTGGTCCAAGTTACACAAGGTGTCGCCATGGTGGGAGGGCAGGTGAGGGAGATTCCCCCCCTGCACTGTGTGTGTAACCTCTGGGGAGTCTATAATTATCTCAAAGGAAAAAATTAAAAATAAAACAATTTCCTAGTAAACACAAGGTCTCCCTCTTCCTAAAAAGCCACTCTGCTTAAGCGGAAGGCCTTGGTGAACCCACCAGAGCCCAGTGGCATGAAGGGTCACCCCCCCGGGTTCCAAGAAAATTCCTTATTGCCTATAATCCTCGCACTTTGGGAGGTTGAGGCAGGTGGATCATCTGAGGTCAGGAGTTTGAGACCAGCCTGGCCGGGTTTCTTTTTTCCTTCTTTTTTTAATAGGGTCTCACTCTGTTGCCCAGGCTGGAGTGCAGTGGTGCAATCACAGCTCACTGAAGCCTTGAACTCCTCGGCTCAAGCAATCCTCCCACCTCAGCCTCCTGAGTAGCTGGGACTACGTGCCGGCTCCCACAGCCAGTTAATTTTTGTATATATTTTTTGAGACAGAGTTTTGCTCTTGTTACCCAGGCTGGAGTGCAATGGCACAATCTCGGCTCACCGCAACCTCTGCCTCCTGGGTTCAAGCAATTCTCCTGCCTCAGCTTCCCCAGTAGCTGGGACTACAGGCGCGCACCACCATGCCTAGCTAATTTTTGTATTTTTAGTAGAGACAGGGTTTCACCATGTTGACCAGGATGGTCTTGATCTCTTGACCTTGTGATCCACCCGCCTCGGCCTCACAAAGTGCTGAGATTGTAGGTGTGAGCCACCATACCCGGCTTAATTTTTATATTTTTTTGTAGAGATGGAGTCTCATGATGTAGCCCAGGTTGGTCTCCAACTCCAGGGCTCAAGTGATTTCCCTGTCTTGGCCTCCACAAGGGCTGGGATTATAGGCTCGAGCCACTGTGCCCAGACAGAGAATATTTTTTTTAAATGAGGAAGTGGTGGGGGGTGGGTCAGATGCCTCTGGAAGGAAGATGGGTGATGGGTGATTTTGGAGAGGACGGTTCTCGGTGGCGTGGTGGGGTAGAAGCGGGGTGGAGCCGAGCAGGCCGCAGGTGCAGACAGCTCTTAGCTGTGAGAGGAGGGAAGGATGCTTGACGTGGCTGTTGATGAGAAAGAAAAGCCCGGACGACACTCGGAACAAGTACATGTGAGTGTGAATGACTCACGTGTGTTCTGTGCTCAGCACAGTCAGGTGCTGTGATGAAACCTTTCCCTTTTCTTTTTTAGATGGAGTCTCACTCTGACACTCAGGCTGGAGTGCAGTGGCATGATCTTGGCTCACTGTAACCTCCGCCCCCCGGGTTCAAGTGATTCTCCTGCCTCAGCCTCCCGAGTAGCTGGGATTACAGGTGCGCGTCACCATGCCCAGCTAAGTTTTGTGTTTTCAGTGGAGACGGGGTTTCACCATGTTGGCCAGGACGGTCTCAAACTCCTGACCTCATGATCCACCTGCCTCGGCCTCCCAAAATGCTGGGAATCCAGATGTGGGCTACCACACCTGGCAGATGAACCTCTTTTAAAAATGTTTAAACTTCAGGGAAACTTAAATTTTGTATTGTTGTAAAATAAACGTAGCATAGAATCTAGGTGCAATTTAGTGGGAGGAAGCGCATTCACATTGCTGTGTAGCCATCACTCCTCTCTAACTCCCCAAGATGTTTTCATCATCCCCTAATTCTGTACCCACTAAATGATAACCCCCTGCTTCTCCCTCCCCAACCCCTGGCAACAATTCTACTTTCTGTCTCTATGAATTTGACTATTCTAGGTACCTTGCATAATAGGAATCAGCTTTTTTTTTTTTTTTTTTTCAAGAGCTCGGTCTTACTCAGTCACCCAGGCTGGAGTGCAGTTGTGCCGCCACAACCTCCTGGGCTTAAGCGATCCTCCCCCTTCAGACTCCTGAGTAGTTGGGACTACAGGTGTGTACCACCATGTCCAGCTAATTAAAACAAATTTTTTTTAGAGATGGGGGTCTCACTATGCTGCCCAGGCTGGTCTTGAACTCCTGGCTCAAGTGATCCTCCTCCCACCTCAGCCTCTCAAAGTGTTGAGACTACAGGTGTGAGCCACTGCACCTGGCCAAAAGGAATCATATATATATTTGTCCTCTTGTGACTGGCGTATTTTACTTAACCCAGTCTTCTCAGCATTCATCCACATTGTAGCATGTGCCGGAATTTCTCTCCTTTCTTAAGGCTGAATGTTATTCCATTGTGCGTGTAGACCGCATTCTGTTTAACCAGCCAAGTTCTTTATCTGGGGTAGCGCCTTCCCTCTTTCTTTTCCTCCCTCTTTCCCTTTATCCCTCTGTCTTCTCTCACCTGCCTTCCTTTTCTCTCCCCGCTCCCTTTTAAGTAAATATTTGTCAAGCACCTATTGTGTATATCCGCATAGTTCCAGGGTCTACAGCCATGAACACAACAGATACCCCTTCCAAAAAAATCCCTGCCCTACTGATGTTTATATTCTGGAGGAAAAAGGAAGTGAATAAATATAATATATGACATTACGAGTTATGAGGGTCTACGAAAAGGTGGCAGCAAGGGCCTCCCTGCAATGGAAGGGGGTCTGTAGGTCTGGGAACTGCGAGAGGGCCAGTGGGGGGTTGAGTGGGCGAGGAGAGAATAGACAATGAGGGCAGTGAGGTCATAGGAAGTCTGGCCTTCTCGAGAGAGGCAGTATCTTGTTCCCATTTTACAGACAGGTAAACTGAGGCCGAGAGAGGAGGTGGCTTGTCCAAGGTCCCACAGCTGGTAGGTGCAGGAGGCAGCAGAGAGACTCCAGGACTGTCGGAACCTGCGCTCCACGCTCTTAACTCTTCCTTCTGTTGTCTCCCAAGGCCACTGTCAAGTTCATTTGCACACTGATGTGTGCCCAACACGATTTGAACACATTTCATGAGAATGAACTCACTGACACCTTCCCCTGGCCATGGGAGAGCTTGTGAGTGCCTCCAGTATTGTTAACTCCCCTCATTGTACAGATGGAGGAAGCCAGGATGGAGATGCTCAGCCACTCACCAAGGTTACACAACGCTGAATGGGATGCCATGATTTGAGCCCAGGTGGAGAGCTCTTAACCACCTCACGAGATGTTCAAGAACAAAGGAGTGGATGGCGCAACGAGCAGTGTGGTGGGATCGGCCCCAGACATGGGGAAAGATGCCTCTTCCATTGTTTCAGGAAAGAAAAAGGAAAGGGCAGGTCAGGTGCAGGTAGGGTGTGGGTCCGATGGGAGGAAGTCAAGGCTGGTCAGTCCTGTGGTTTCTGTTTCTTCCAGGGAACAGGAAGAAATCTCAAGGGGCCTTGGCAGATGGGGTTGGGAAGGCTGAGGGTGGTGGCGAAGGGGCCCAGGTGATGTTGAGGATCATGTGTTTCCAAGGGTACCCTCTCAGTGGGTGGTGGATTTTTTTTTTCCTCTAACTTTCTAGATGTAGACAAAGAGAAGGCATCTGCAGGACAGGGGGATGTCGGGAGGAATGCCCGGACTGGGGAGCGGAGGGTCGCCAGGTCAGAGGGGACTCTGGGGCCGGTCTTGAACTCCTGGGTTCAAGTGATTCTCCTCCCACCTTGACCTCTCAAAGTGCTGGGATTGCAGCTGTGAGCCACTGCGCCTGGCCAAAAGGCATTGTGTTATTTTTGTCCTCTTGTAACTGGCTTATTTCACTCAACCTAATGTCCTCAGTAGGTGGAGACAAGGGGGCTTGCTGGGTGGGAGGCTGCCTGAGGAGGGTCAGGTGTCTCTGAGGTGGAAGAACAGGTATGACGCAGGCAGCCATGGTGCCGAGGCACAGGAGGCTGTGGTCAGGGAGTGGGACGTGAGATTTTGTGGTTTCAGAGGTGGAGCCCTTCTGGATGGATATGGAAGCTGGGTGTGACCGTGGGAACGGATGGCGGGGGAGGTGGTCTCTGGCCACGTGGAGGTAGCGAGATTCAGAAACTGGGGCTCCTCTCTG